GCAGGAGACTCTTAAGGCTTGAATTAAAATGACAAACTCATACACATTTCTCTTCGTTCTGTTCATGCTGATCAAGAGATTACAAGCATAAGTGCAATTTTCTAACTGAAATATTTAGCATTATTCACAATAGAAAGAAGAAGAATATCAGTTTCTATTTCTGAAAAAAAAATGAGAGGAAACTTCCTTAACAAGAATCCGTGTGTGGGTAGCAAAGTGGAATATTTTAATAGCTATAACCTTAACCTTTAATAAAATAAGAAAAAAATACTCGTGTTAATTTGGATCAACCTTATCTTTTTATACTTACAATAGCAGATATAAAACAATGCTCAGCATGGCATTTCTACACGAAATAGGCAATTTAATTACTGTTCAGAGTGACCTAATTACATTAATACTTTTGGCTTCTGAAAGCCATCAGAGGTGAACACATGAAACAAATAACTCATTCCAGTTATTAACACGTGCAAGCACACCTGCTGGCACAGTAGAGGAGAACTAGTGTCTTGCTTTCAAGCTTTTCTGTGAAATCAAGTGCTGAAATGCTGGAGTAGTCTCTTGAGATCAGATTTAAGCACCAGGAAATTAATAAGGATGCTCTTGTGTGGGTGCAAAATACCTGGGTATAACGCTAACTCATTTCAAGTAAATGACTTTGTTTTGCTGCTGAAAATAGCAAATTGATAGATAGAAATTGACAGTTTGACAGTGTAATCTTACATTTTGCAAACAGCTTGCACATAGAGGAGTAACTATGTTGTCACAGATTCTGACATTTTATATGGATTTGTTTCATGCTGATCCGTATGCCAAATTATATATGTGTTTTCCTATTCTCAGTAAATGATGTATCAAGGCTACTGGATTTTGAGTCTGTAAAGAGCTACTGTGGTAGCGTACGCAGATTTCCTGCTTACCATCCTGTTGCGATAGGGTAATGGTAGAATCATTACGATTACTGAATTATTATTAGAGATTTTGCCATTCTTTTTTTTATATGTGACTCTTCCTAAATAATTTTGGGGGAAAAGATTGGAGCAGACTCCAAGATGCCCTCATTGGTTCCCTTCATTTTTTTTTCCTATGCATTTGTCGCACTTTTATCTTCAGAAAGAAAATATGCTACATTTTGAATCTCTATCACAGTAGGGATAAACCTGCAGAATTATCAGGTTTGGCGAATCTTCTTAAGAAAGAAAGGTCATTAACCATGTTTTTTCCTGTATCTAGAATGCTTTAATCATAAACATTTTTCTACCTACTTTGGGTGTCTTAGATGTCAATTTTGGGATGTGTTGAGGTTTAGATTAAAAGTACTTGCTTCTCTTCCTTTACAATGAAAGCAGTAGAGATAACCAGCCCCGACAAAGGCACACTTGATCAGATTGAGCTGATGTAGCCTGTCCTTACGTTTTCCAGCCGAAGCATCTACCCGCTGAAAAGCTGGTTGTGTCAGATCCTGTTTGCCTGTATGTAACTCATTGTGCAATATGGCAATGCCTAATACACTACAGAAGGCTGTAGTATTAGGGCTAGGTTTATAAAATAAAAGATTGCACTGCCAAACTCTCTACACACATGAAATCTTTTCTAAATTTAGCTTAAAGTTAGTGTGTTATGTCAGGAGTCAGCAATTAACTTTCACTTCTCTGTCTTTAATGTATTCACTTCACATCATTGCACTTTTGGATTCCGACTTTGGATACTGTTTGAGGAAAATAAATTACTAATTTTAGTCTATGCATATATTTTTGATAGACCTGGAATCATCACGCTCCAAGCTTTTTCAGAATCCAACCGAAAACTTTGGCTTGAAGCTATGGATGGAAAGGAACCAGTAAGAATTTTTTTATTCTATTTTTTTCAGTTTTCTTACACATGTAAGTTAAAGCAAGAAGCTACCAGGCATTTCAGGTATAAAATCTTTTGCAGTTTAGTACAGTATAAGCAAATATAATTCTTCTGTTGTTCATAAGAATCAATGGCAAATATACAGTGAAGATCAGTACAAAATAGTGAAGCAGTTTGTTTTAACCTGTGTTAACATTGCTTTGTTTAAGATATTTAACATTTAACTAATCTAATAACATATTGTCTTACCAGATACATGATCCAGGTAAAATTTGTAAAATGTATGTATCATTTATGTACTGGTAAAAACAAACCATCTTTATGCAATGTCACATCATAATAATAACTGCCATCTTGAAAAGTACTGCAGAGAGCATAAAAATGTGTTGAAAGCTACTACGAAACAGGCTTATATGAGATTTCTTCCCACCATTAACCCGCTATTGAAAAAGTCACTGAACGTGGTGATGCCAGACACGTATCCAAGGGAAAGAAAACAGTTGATTGATTTTATGAGATAAGTATTTTTGCAAGACTCCCATTTGACTGGAACAATGAAGAAATTGAGTCAATATTTGAATGGATATTTAACCCATTTGGAGTCTGCAGACTTTAGGTGCCTATAAATTTCATGCTATTAAATCCCTCATAAAACTGGAACTTCAAGGTCTGACTGGACTTTTGGGACACAATCTGTCCGTCTTCCTTTTCCCCAGAGGATCATCTCTTTTAAACTGCAAATACCACCAAAACAGTAACTTTTGCCTCCTCTGCCTGCTCAAAGTTTAACCCAGGGATGTCAGCTTGACGAGCGCCACTGGGAAAAGCTCAAGGAAAAGCGGAAGGCGGGGATGGCGCTGCCCTCACGGGGTTAGAGAGGGGCCACAAACAGCTGCTTTCTTGGCATGTTAGAGGGTTGCTGCTGGGAGAAGGAGAGGATTGGTGAGAGGCAGCTCCAGGAAAGCTGCTGTCACCAGGAGAGTGGAGTTGGGGGAATGGTGGTCCACAGGAGGTCACAAAACCCAGAAGAGGTTCTCAGGTCTGGATTATGTGGAGAAAGTTGCAAGGTAGCCTCCTGCCAGAGGTGTGATTTCAATTGTTATCCTCTATTAAACTTTTTAATCACAACCTAGCAAAAAATGCAAGGATCAAGGCTTTCCAAAAGTGTCAAACTTAACAAAAAGTGTGTTGGAACTGGTTTAAGAACTATAAACAAATGTGGTGATAAAGACCTTAAAACTCAATCAGTGACCCATTATTTTCATTCCCCTTCCAGATTTATACACTGCCAGCCATCATTAGCAAGAAGGAAGAAAGTAAGCACTTCATTATGTTGAGATATGAAGTATTCTTAGATTTCTGTAATGTCCTGATCTCCAGGGTGTGCATGTGTCTGAGAGAGAAAGAGAAAAGGAGGGAGGGAGGGAAGGTGAGCACGTGTGCAAAATTAATTTGTTTGCATTTTCCTTTTTTTGCTATGAAATACTGTTTGCTGGATTATATGAAAGCTCACCCTAAGGTCCAGATATGTGAGAACTGTGAGAAAACATTCAAATTTTGGATTACTATCAGACATAAATATGAAGAAAATGCATTTGGCTCCAAAACAACAGTATCATTAGCAAATCTCTGTGCAGATTTTATCTATAGTCTATATACGTAAATGTGAAGATATAACTGTGTATTGAAATAATATCCCTATAGGGATCACAGCTTTTGTTTGTAAGTGCCTATGCACCTATTACTCATGTACTGAGTAATAAAATGAGTATGTATGAAGATACGGGTCTTCTACCTGTGCAGTGTAGAAATGCATTACATTTTAATGATGTTTTTGTATTCATGTATGAACTTTAATATACGTGTGCATCAATGTATTTTCTAGAGATGTATAACAGTTCTGACAAGATAAAAATGAGTTGTTCTTTTCTTCTTTTTGTAGTGTTCTTAAACGAAGCAGGTTTTAACTTTGTGAGGAAATGTATTCATGCTGTAGAAACAAGAGGTGTGTATTAAACTGCAAATTAATTATTGGATTCTTATGAGCACTTTTCTTAAATATTATTTTGATAAAGTCCATTTGTTTTACAACTGTTGGAAGTTGTCCATCACATCTTGTATTTGCATCTTAGAATCTGTTACAAGCTTCTACAATGCTTAACCTATTGTTTAACCTATTTTGTAAACTTTATTTGTAATTTCATGCTGTTTAGACAGCTTAATATACAGTTGCACACATCTTTAGTCTATATTTTTAAATTATAGGCACTGAATTATGCTTTCTAGTGAAATTGTAGGAGTTGGAAGTTCCTAACTTAGTTTTACAGCATCACATCTAAAGACCAAAATGTCAAAAGCATCAACACTGTCTGCTGAAGTATTTGTGGCAGAACATAACTCCCAATATTTTATTCACTCATTTTCTATGTCATTTAGCCATTTTTTAATATTTAGTGATGAATATAATGAATTATATAGTGAATATATATAATTATATATTAAAAAATTATACTCGTCTGTTGATGGCTCACAAGGAGCTTGGAATTATCCCCTTTGAAAGCAAGAGGTTCAGGCTATGTGGCCTTCCCTAAGCAAAGGGGCTCTGTAAGTGTCGATACCCTGGGCAGACAGGGTGCAAATCCCTCCTGATGGGAAAGCGGGAATCGCAGCGGGCAGCCCTGCGCCCAGCCGGAATCGAGGGGCTCAGGTGACAGCCCTAGGGAGCTTACTCGACCTTGCATTCTTCTGCACAAGGTGGGAAAGAAAACCTCAGGTTATTTAGCTGAGAGCAGACTTTGGAAAATTGTTTTCGAATGAAAAATGAGCAATTTTGAAATAGCAAGACCTGAAGTGGAGGCGTAAAAGGAGAATAAAATAAAAATTAATCAGAATTTCCTTTCTTCCTCACACAGTTTTAGAAACTGTTACACTGTTTCTAAAATGTCTTACAAATGATAAAATCATCATCCTTGGAATCCTGAAATACTGTATGTTGAATGTCACACTTTAAACTTTATCTGTTAGTTGTGTCTGTGATATTAAAGAATAAAAGAAGAAAAGGGAAAGAAACTTATGGGTAAATTTGGACTGTCTTTATTTTGCTTGAGATCCAAGTGTGAAGTTATATGTCAAGCTACAGTGTTTGCAACAGCGAACCTTGTTTTGCACAATTGCTTTGATGCAATTATTATTTCTCCAAGAAATGCCAATCAGACCCGAATGGGAAGGATAATGACCTGATCAGATGTAGGTGCATACTAATTCCACTGAAGCTTGGCTAGGATAAACTCGTGAACATGTAACTTGTTTCAAAACTGTGTTGGGATCTTTCGCTTTTTCAGCCATCTTCCTCTGTTTGCTAATATGTCTCATTTCAATGCAAAAGGATTCTGTTAATTTAAAATTTTGACTTGGTAGTGTATGGTATTTTGTGGCATGGGTTCAGTGGAACGCATTTTTTAAGATACCAGCAGCAAACTCAGTGGGCTAAAGTAGCACTCAGGAATGTAAATTAACAATTTTCCATAAATTAATTTAGAAATCAAAGGTTGGTCTTCAAGCTTGTTTTGGAAGCATACACCAAGGATACATCAGAGCGTATAACTTATTATTATTTTATTTTCATTGTATTTGTTTTCCCATATAGGTATTACAATCCTGGGGCTGTACAGAATAGGTGGTGTAAACTCCAAAGTGCAAAAGCTCATGAATACCATATTTTGTAAGTATATGAAGTGAACCTTTGTCAGTAGTGTGCTGCCAGTATGTTATAATTCGTTTTGCTTTAACTGCTGTACTCAGAAGAGTGTGTATCATAATATTTACATTTTCATATGTGCAGTTAGTGACAATAAGCTGATTTTTCAGTCTTTTGAACAGTTACATGTAACTTGTTTCTTGTATGCATTATCACTTAATTTCAGCATGCTGTCATCAACATATATGAACAAATTACTGATAAAATGTGTTTATTCTTTTAGTTTAAAAGTTCTGTTTCTTGGCGTCTATTAGGCATTTTCCAGAGGTCTTTCAGAGCTTCATTCTGTTATACAGCTGTCTGTTTTGAAGACATAACTCAGCTTAAGCAGGTCATGTAGTACTAATATTTCACTTTTCATGCTAATTTGACTCTGTGATAGAGATACTAATTATCCAAAACATTTTCAACAGACATGGACTTAGCTCACACTTTGATTATGGTTCATATAGCTCAAGTTTATAGGTACTAAGTATTAGTTAATTTTACTAGTACTTAACAGATTAAAAGACTTAAAATTGATCAGATTGGCAGTTGATCTGGGCAGTGAAGTAATCTCATGAAGTAAATGTCTAGTATGTTAGCTTTTGTCGTGCTTCTTTTCTGATTACCATATTAGTCCAACTGTAACACAATCGTAATTTAAATTTCTACCAGCCCCTAAATCTCCTCCTGATATGGATATTGATATGGAGCTTTGGGACAATAAAACAATAACAAGTGGACTAAAAAACTACCTCAGGTAAGTACAGTGCTGTGTACAGAGCTCAATATCCCTTCTTCTGGCCCATTGATCTCTGTTTAATTCTTTATTGCTTTTTTTTAATATCCATTGGCATGATGATAATTGAGTATATTATAAACTTACACTGTCATTATTTCCAACAATAAATCTAATGTTTGTTGCACTCTTTCTGGCTTACTAAAATATTCATGCACTATATAGACCTAAAATTGACAAGCATTTTAGGTCAAATGTTTTCTTGAATTAAACTGTGTAGTATGTGATTCCATGGCATTATCATTGGAGTAAAAATATCTCTTTTTAATGTAAATATTTGTTTGTTATCCTATGATATTAATATCTTTAGATTCAGGAGAAAAGCAAATCTCCCATGTAAAACTGTCGTTTCCTTTTCAAATACCTGGTAATAAGAGACAAAATTTGCAAGAGTGGTGGTACTTCTGATATGCTTCTTTTTGCTTCTCAAGTTTTAAGGATTAAAAGAAACAAAAAGCATCAAATCCAGAGTGTGAGCATTCACACAAATCCAGTTTTTAGTCTGGAAAGTAGTGCTAGCATTTATAGTGGAAATGCTCTTATAAACTTAATTGGAAACATTGGCTTTGGTGGAAAAAAATGTAATTGATAGAATGTCTTCAGGAGTATTAACTTGACTATTGATGTTATACTTGTGAATTAAAGAAAAGAACTACTAGTAGGTGTGTTTTTGAGTAAAAGACAGGCTGCCTTTCAGAGGAGGATTCTACCAGAAGCACTCAGATTAGAATTTCAGTAGCAGGTTTCATAATGTATTTTCTTAGTCCGAGCTTCAAAGATTATTTCTGCAGCCAACTTTGCCATGTTCTACAGCAGAATTAGAATATCTCTGTTCAGTGCTATAGAAGGAAGAAGGTAGTGAGTATATATACTGAATTGTATACTGCTTGTAATCAGTGAGTAGTGGGTTGGATTTGCTCGGACATACCAATATACGGCATGCAGCTATTAAAGGCTATCTTATTGACTCTAATAGCATATAGTAGAGTAATGCAGTAATGCATTTTCTAAAATTTCCGGTTTTTTTACCACCAGGTGTCTTTCAGAACCATTGATGACTTTCAAGCTGCACAAAGATTTTATTGTTGCTGTTAGTAAGTAAAGAAATACATGCACTTTCGTGAAAGTTCCTAGACCTCACTTATTATTGAATGCCTGTCCCTGTTTTTCTCCCTGCTCTGCTATTCAGTGACCCACGCAAGGATCTCAGTACCTCCATTTCACTATGTATAACAAAACAATGTCACCTGAAAGCCCTCAAAACAGAGAAGTCACATTGCCTGAAGCTGCTTCGTGGTTTGTTCTCATAATTTTAGAATCACAAAGTGACAGAATGGTTGAGGTTGGAAGGGACCTCTAGAGATCATCTAGGCCAACCCCCCTGCACATGCAGGGACACCTAGAGCACGTGGCACAGGGTGGCAGCCAGGCAGGTTTGGAAGATCTCCAGAGAAGGAGACTCCACAACCTCTCTGGGCAGCCTGTTCCAGGGCTCTGTCACCCTCACAGTCAAGAAGTTCTTCCTCACATGGAGATGGAACTTCCTCTGTTTCAGTTTATACTCCTTACACCTTGTTGTGTCACTAGCCACCAGCAAGAAGAGTTTGGTCCCATCCTCTCTGCATTCTCCCCTTAGGTACTTGTACATGTTGATCAGATCTCCTCTCAATCTTCTCTTCTCCAGGCTAAACAGGCCCAGCTCTGTCCTCGTATGATAGATGCTCCAGTCCCTTAATTATCTTCGTGGCTCTTCGCTGGACCCTCTCTAGAGGGGGTCCCTCCCTCTTATACTGGATAGCCCAGAGCTTCTATGCGACTACCCTGTCCACAAAATTTGAATCTTGGTTGCTATACAAACCGATAATGCTAATATTGCGTTCATCCTTTTCGTCCAGGGACTTTTTTATTAACAGCTTGCTTTGAGAATTAGGAGGAATGATATTATTGCCTTTTCACAAAGGGAGAAAACAGTTACAGAGATAGTAAGACTATTTTTCTAATTACTCCTTCTAATTACTACTAATTCTAATTACAACTTCTAATTACTAAGAATTTGAAAGTACTTCCACATTACCTCTTGCCTTGATAAGATTAAAAGATACTCAAAGAATTTTAAATATTTTAAATATCAAGAGGTAAAATCTTGGATTCCACTGAAGTGGCAAATGGAGTCATATTTGCCACTGATTTCAGTGGGCCCAGGTTAGCTTTTGGTAAGTTACTTGAAATACAAATACTAGAGTGTTCTTGTATTGAATTGTCCTAGACTTTTTAAAGGACAGTTTTGACTCATTGTCATGCATGTGTGTCTTACCATGCAGGCACTGATGCTGTTCGTAATCATATCTTAGCCCACATCTGAATTCATCAACAATATTTGCTTTTTGTTTCACAGAATCAGATGATCAGAACTACAGAGTTGAGGCAGTGCATGCACTTGTTCACAAGTTACCAGAGAAGAATAGAGAGATGCTGGACATCCTTATCAAGCACCTGGTCAAGTAATTCTTTGTGATTTTTTTCTCTTGACAGTAGTATTTTAGATTGTGATCCTTTTCGCTTTTAAAATGTCAGTATTGTCTAATCCATTCCTGGTGCTAGGAAGAAGCCATTTGAAATTATATTAATTTCTAAAATGCTTTTCACAATATAGTGAAAAAGTCCTGCATGTAGACTATAAAGAGTCATTTTTAATTCATTTTCCTAGTGCAAGAATTAGCTGCTGTTATAAATGAGAAACATCCAAAGGTACAGTACAAGAATATGTGAATCTGACTCAAGGTCCCATACTGTATCAGAACTCTACAGTAGACTAGTTTGATCTTATTTTTCTCTCTAGCAACTCTGAGATATCAGTATCATTTCAAAATACTGATTTGAAGTATTGTTATATTTATCATTGATACCCATATAAATGTCCAAGTCCTTTTTTGAATCTCCTCAGTTTTATCAGCTTCCCTGAGTCTTAATTAAATGTCATAAGAAAAAAGATGTTTTTATGTCTTTGAACTGATGACCTTTTATCTGAAGTGAATTACTCTTCTAAGACAGAAAAGACAAGTTTTGTTTTCCGCTGTCTGTAGCGCTCGCTGTTGTTATATAGTATTGCTGTATCATCACTGATCCTCTTTCTACAGCAAACAATATTCATTTGAGTTTTACTGAATCCTTTGTCATTTTCCATTGGCTTTTGATACACTTTTTTTAAATTAATATTACTCTTTCTGCTCTGGGCTCACTGGGGCCATGTGCTGTTTAGTACATGTTATCAATGGTCTTATAATGTGGTGAGGGGAACAGCAGTTGTTCAGATAAGGTCGGCATGATTGGCTTGTGTAAAAGATGCAGCAGAAGTATCGGTCTCGTTTTCCCTCCCCTCACTGCATCTCAGCTATTTTGCCTTTTGGATCACAGCTTGAGCAGTGTGCAGCGAGCTGCCTGCAGTGGAGCCTAATGCATTTGCTTCCTCCTGAGGGCTCTGGAAATGTCTTTGACAGGCAATTATTTAGCCCTAGTAAAGTATTTTTAGCCCTTTATGGCATTATACCCTGGAGAACTAACGTGCTCAGAGCTGCTGTGAATGCATCAAGTACAGACACAGTCCAGGCCAAGCTAGCATTTCGTTAGGCATGGGGTGACCCAAAGGACCAGCAAAAAGCAAGTTTCTTAAGTTTCCTTATCCAAAAAGTAATTTATTAGCTAAAAGTATAATATTTACTGTTTTTAACTCTCTGAAATATAAAGTTTTTAATGATGAATCAATGGTTTTGTAAAAGCTGATAGTTTGGAGATCCAAAATTAAAGAAAAAAAAGACTTAATTGTGGGCAAAATGAATTGTAGGCAAATATTTGTTCTTTGACCTTCTGGCCTCTTTAGTCGTAATATTACACAGATACAGAGAAGAGCATGTCCATGGTGTCCACTACTGCTTTAACTGTTCTCTTTAACCATCCAAAAGGCACTTGGTTATGATTCTGACTGTATGCTATCAGTTCTAAGGATATTGAATTCAAAATCAGTCGTGAGTGATTTTATGATATAGTGTAGTTATATATAATCAACATGGATTAATAATAATAGTAATCAATAAAGAAAGTGAATAATAAATTGTATTAGTGTAGAGGCTTTTCAAAGTACAAATGACAAAGAGCTTAATTTTCTGCAAATAGGGAATCCCACTTCAAAATGTACATCCTTTCCCTGTATTTCCTTTTGGTTATTCAGTTCCTGTATGTGACCTCTTGTATCTGGATGAAAACACTATTCTTATTTAATACACCATAATTAGAGGTATAATATTATTTTTTCTTTGTATAGGCCTTAAGGTCTTTAGGTCTGTGACTACCTTGTCTTTAGTGTCTCTGCAAAATTATATATGATTTAGATTATATGTGATTTGCATTATTCTGTTAAAAAAGGAGGAAGAGGACAGGGGAAGCAAAGCCTGAAAAGCATCCTGTAGAGAGACCATACTGTAATGTATTTATTATACTTATGATGGTAATAAATCAGTTAACAGATAGATAACATTTGAAGTCTGGTGTTATTTTAAGATAGATAAAAAGAGATACTTCATTTTTTAAAAAACCTTCATAATCAAATTATGTATTTGTCTCCTTTAAAGAATAAATTCTTCTTTGGAGTGATATAATAGCACAGTACCTTTATCAGTTACATGGTCAGAAATCTGCAAACTGACAGTATCAGAAATGCATTTTCACTGGAGATACTGCAAAGAAAAATGTTGAGGAGAAAGCAATTGCACCTTAATGGATGCCTTAGAGCTACCTGAAATGCATGATTGCCTTGGCCAGAGTCTGTTCAGTAGCTGAGCAACAGTAGGACTAGGTCAGATGAAATTGGTTATCAAAAAGATCCATTTACAGGCCTGGCTTTTCTTCCCTTTTGCAGGAAATTGAGCCTTTGAGATGCTTTGCAGAAAGTCCTTTCTGGTCACAATTTTATTAAATTCACTGTTCCTTTTATTAACCAACCTGCCAAATTTGTCACCAAGGAAACCCAAACATATTACAAATACTACTTTCCGTCTTATGCTGTAAGACCATAGTGATTGTGTAAAATGTTTGTGTAAAGGACCTTAGCAGTTATTGTGCAGCACAGAGCAGAAGAACATTGTGCAGACAGGTATTTGTTAGTTTTTTCTAGCATAGTAATTCAAAATTCCCTTTTCATTAAAATACAGATGAAATTTCCAAATACTTCTTGTTCTCCTAAACCAAACATAAACTTTGTTACAGTGAAAATTAAACTAATTGGCTAAAAATATGCTTTAGAAAGTTAGCAATTTTCATTATTTGACTTCCAAAAAAAAAAAAAAAAAGACTCCCAGTACATTCACGAAAGTAAAGTTTCTGAGGTGTTTTTAGCATTAACTAAATGAACTAAATAGGAAATACATAAGGAGATTGTCATTTATTTTCATGTAGTTTATAAATAATAATATTCAATATAAATGGCATTCCCTATATTTGAGGAGAGGGAAATATTTGCTTCATTAGTGAAGTAATTCTACTGTAAAATAGCTACCTGAGAATTTTTTTGGAAGGAACACGTAGCAGATTTCTCCATAACCCTGATTAATGTAGATTGTCAGAGAAAAACAGAAAACTAGAATTTGTGCCTGCCTTCTAGTCTTTTTAACTAAGTTTTACTGTTTCTTCATTTTAAAAACTACAGGAATTATTTTAGTTATATAGGAAATTGATAAAATTGTATTTTGTCAGCTTGACAGTGATGGCAGTGAGGGGAAGAAAGGAAACCATGAATGAATGCCTTGATAAGTCATACTGATTCACAGAAGTTATGAACAGTTTATAGTTATAAAAGGCAGTTACCACAAATGTACTTGCTATGGTATTGTTCAAACATGAAGGCATAGGAATGATTATTCTCTGACCAGAATCACTGGCAGTTATTTTGAAGTTTTCTTTAAAGGGGAGTCATGAACCTGAGATTTGATTACAGTAGTTGTCTAACAGTTTTCCGCTTGTTGGAATGCGAGGTCAGCATGATTGTTTAACTGCATATCACTTTTGTTCACTTAAAGGGTATCATTACACAGTCAGCAAAATCTTATGACTGTATCCAACCTTGGGGTTATCTTCGGACCAACTCTGATGAGAGCCCAAGAAGAAACCGTGGCTGCTATGATGAACATTAAATTTCAGAATATCGTCGTTGAAATTCTGATAGAGCATTATGAAAAGGTAGACTGACATTATCTGAATGCTTTGTGATAAAGATGAAACTGGTATCTTGTTTTCGTTACCATCATTCAATTCTTAAGAATAAGGAATTTGGCATTTATAGAAGCATATGATAGAAAGAATACCTTCTACCCACATGTTGCTATGGATCTGTATTCCTAGCAAGTCTTTTGTGGCTATGCAAGTAACAGATCCAAGGCATAATCTCTCCTGTTATGAAGGAGCTGGTCTGAATCAACTAAAGAATTTTAAAGCTTGAAGCCTTCTTCTCATAGCTGAAAGCGAGGTGAGAAAATAGGATATGATAACTTTGCTTCCAGCTCTTCTGTCTATCTCTTGCTATTAGTGTACCAACATCCACTCTGTGTAATGCCTGGGTTCTCCTCTGAGTACACTTGTGCCTCAGGTCAGAATCTTTCTGGCCACCACTGTCTTTGGGGATATACCAGCTGCACAGTGGAGATCCTGCTCCACCTAACATCAGGAAACCCAACCACCCTTCAGTTCTTCTTTCCACAAATGGCCTCAGTGTGAATCCCCAGCAGAATCCCCAGATTGTATACACTGTGTCATTTTCATTTGTGAAAGCTGTCAAAAAGACAGAAGAAATAAGTTTTACAGATGAGGTTTTATCCCTAGCTGCAGGTTTTAAATCCATTATGAATACTTGGGAACATATGATCTTCTCTAGGTGCCTCTTTTGCTTTGAAGAAAGGCCTATCTGTGGCTATTTATTTATTTTGTTTTCTCCAGAGAGACCAGTTACAGAGAGGTTACACCTCAAACTCATCTTTCTGGAACATTGAATTAAGGCCTTTTCAGGGCTTGAGATAACAAATCCCTGAATGAATAAACAATTTCAGTCACTATCATTGCAGGTATCAGCTTGACTGTGATTTCCTCAGTTCATTATTTACTTATTTATTTTAAAGGAGATAATTTGACTACAGTACAGTCAAGATCTCCTTTACTTGGTCATTAACAGGATAAAGATATTTTCTTGATATAGATCATCTCATGAAGATCAAAGCAAAATGTGTTTTCCTTCTATTTCGTGTTACTCATCTGAAAGGCCAATATCAGGTTCCTCTGCACTGTGTGGTCAGTAAGTACCTACAGTACTGTTCGATATCAGCAGTTTTATTTCATATGGACTCCTCAAAATTGGTACAATTTCTCCATGCCTGTAACTCCAAAACATATGCCTAACATATTTCCAAAACTCAGTTTCCCCCTCTGAACCTTACAAGCTCATTTAATACCAAGACCACAGCCAAAAACACCATTACTGAACTTCTCTGCCTCCAGACATGTTTTTGCTTTGGTGTGCTACTCACTAATTCCTAATACGGTATTACTGTGCCTCAAGAGTATCTCAAGACCTCCATTAAAATTCCTTTTGTGATATGTGCCACTATCTCAGCATTCATTTCCAATGTAGCATAGAGCAAAAAAACAACTTAGAAAGGAATGTGTGGAAGTACCTCCATGGTTTATGGCATTTTTTACTCCCCACCTTTTTTTTTCTTTTTTTTTATTATGCAGATATTTCACAGTGCACCAGACCCCAATATTCCTCTTCCCCAACCACAGTCCCGCTCAGGTTCAAGAAGGACAAGAGCAATTTGTCTCTCCACAGGTTCACGTAAACCTAAAGGAAGATACACACCTTGTCTGGCAGATCCTGATAGTAAGTTTGCCTTTGCTATTGGCTGGTTGTCTTTCACATCATGTCCTCTCTTTTCATTTTTTTCTGGTTAAGATCCAATAAGTATTGTATCGCGGGCATGAAACTGTGGTCTTTCATTCAAAGTTGCCAAAACAACTGAAACTTTACTGGGATCAAAGCAACTGTAAACCTAATATTTTTGTGAGAACCAGTATACTTGTCATATGGTTTAATGTAAAACACCAGGAAGTTATGTTTGCAGTTGACTCCTGATGAGAAAACTTACTCCTTTTCATGTAAATGTGACTATAAAAAAAGCTGCACTTCACACACTTTCACTCAGTGGGCCATCACACTTACTCTTTAGCCTTACCATTAGCAAATATTAAATTATTAACAGTTTCACTGCTGTAATACCATTCCAAAGGAAGTTCTATTTTCCCCAGTTCCTCAAGGAGATTTACATGAAGTTGCTACAGCAGATTAATGCATTGTCCTCAGGCATACGTTACATATTCTGTCAGCAGGAGTTTAAATACAAAATGAGGTCAATAGCTGCCTATATATCAGTTGTCAATGTGAATAGCACTGGATCCTTAAAGTGAGAAGCTATAAGGAATTATCAGCTAAAACTCACCAATGGAGAAACTGTGCTCCAAACTCAGTTTTTCTCCAAGCTTCTGGAAAAAGTCTTTTAAAAAACAAAGGTATGACCCATTGGACTTCAGTCACAATTTTATTAATTTCGTTTTCAAGATAATTCAACTCTTTCTATGTTCATGCCAGTTTTTCTTAGTTTTGATGAATGTTCCTACCTTTATGTTGTCAGCAGATTTCTTTAGTACATTCCCACTTTCTGTTCAAAATATTAATGAAAATATTAGATAAGTATGAAGGTTCCTGGATAGGAAAGTGAATTTCTCTAATTTCATCAAATGTTTGATGTTGTCAAGAATGTTAAGGTTGTAAATACAGGAATAAAGAGTTGTCCTTTAATTGTGGGATAGGTATTTCTTTAAAGATATGATGAATCAGGAAATTGGATATCTATATGGTTTATGTTCATAAGTCTATAATAGGCTTATGAGCTAGTCTTCTGGAAACTGCAGACATCCTAGGAACTTGATAATGGAAGTAAAAACAACTTACTCCTGCCAACCATACAGTCACACATGTTGGAGCATACACATGGCAAGTACCACACTGTAGTACTTTCATGGAATTTCAGCAAGTTGCTCCTCAAAGTCATTGCAGCATTCCAACTGTTTAATTTCCTGAGGTTATCTATACTGCAGGCAGTTTTTTCTTTCAAAATGCAGATAGTTGTGTCTGTAGCTGATTTTGAACTCATTATGTTCGTCTGGTCTAGAGAAATGTCAGCTTTCTGGTTAAAGACAGGAATATGTGTGAAACTTAGAGTAACCAGATAGCAGATTGACGAATTCGATGATACAAGTAAGACGCAAGGGCTATGAAGTGGTATAAGAAAAATACACATTTTTAACACATTAGAGGGCTATGAAGTTGTATAAGAAAAATACACATTTTTAACACATTAGAGGTAATTACCTTCCTGTTTCTCCTTCTTTCTTCTCCCCTCACTCATCCTCAGGTGACTCCTACAGCAGTAGCCCAGATAGCACCCCCATGGGCAGCGTCGAGTCTCTCTCTTCTCACTCTTCAGAACAGAACAGCACCAGCAAGGGTGCACCCTCGCAGCCCAGGGAGAAATCGGGAGGGATCCCATGGATTGCTTCTCCCCCCTCTTCTAACGGCCAGAAGAGTTCAAGCCTCTGGACTACAAGTCCAGAGTCTTCATCCAAGGAGGATGCAACAAAAACAGATGTGGAGTCAGACTGCCAAAGCATAGCTTCTGTTACTGGGCCTGAGAGTGCCTCTTCACCGACAGATCTGGCCAAAAAGGGTTCTTACGGTCTGTCTGGCCTGAAAAGATCATCAGCTTCTTCCCTCAGATCAATTCCATCGGCTGAAGGTAATTTCCAAGATTATTTAGGACATCAGTGAATTTGCTCTGAAGTAACAGAAAATAAAATGTGCATCCAATGATACAGCTAAAGGTGCAGCTAATGATACTCATTAATTTTGTTGGTTTAATTGTTAATGTCCTGGTGTGTTTTTTCACTTTTCAGACTGCTTCTGACATGTTTTCATTGCCTATTATCTATACAGTTCACACAGCTTAAAATATATCAGTATTTCTCAGAATTTACAATACTCTTTGTCCTGCCGTGCCTCATCTAGGCTCCTCGCTTAAGAGAGTGCCAGCTTAAAAGTCGGTAACCAGGGGCTATCACTGTGTCGAATGAATCCTTGCAGTGTGATCAGTGCTAATGAAAGCTGACAATTACATTTTAAAAACCTCTCTTGCACAACCACATTTCTTAAATTGACTGAAATAGTGTTTGGGGAATAAATCTTTTAGATAGGGACTTTACAGACAATGCCTTTGGACAGATGGTCCAAAAGGGTAAGCCCTGGCATGATGTTTATGTCTGTAATGTTGCTTATGGAGTGACTGCTTCATTCTGCCCTACCTGCTCCTTTTGGTATGCCATAGAGAAACCTAAGTTACCTTGAACATGAGACATATATCAGAATTCACCTGTACATGGACTTATACAAAAGAACAAACATAAGTTGAAAGGGGAAATATGTGGATGCTGCTCTCTTTCAAATATATATTTGCAAGCCCAACTTTAGGAATCCAATTTCATGCCAGAGTTAGGACTCTGTTACAGAATCACAGAATCACAGAATGGTTGAGGTTGGAAGGGACCTCTAGAGATCATCTAGCCCAACCCCCCTGCATACACAGGGACACCTAGAGCACGTGGCACAGGGTGGCATCCAGGCAAGTTTGGAAGATCTCCAGGGAAGGAGACTCCACAACCTTTCCGGGCAGCCTGTTCCCGGGCTCTGTCACCCTCACGGGAAAGTTCTTCCTCACATGGAGATGGAACTTCCTGTGTTTCAACTTACACACATTACTCCTCGTCCTGTCACCGGCCACCACGGAGAAGAGCCTGGCCCCATCCTCCCTACAATCATCCCTTAGATACTTGAACATGTTAATCAAATCTCCTCTCAGCCTTCTTTTCTCCAGACGAAACAGCTGATGCAGCCAGGATCCCATTGGCCTTCTTGGCCACGAGGGCACATTGCTGCCTCATGGTTAACTTGTTGTCAACCAGGACTCCCTAATCCCTCTCTGCAGAGCTGCTTTTCAGCAGATCAACCCCTAATCTGTCCTGGTGCCTGGGGTTATTCCTCCCCAGGTCCAGGACCCTGCACTTGTCCTTGTTGAACCTCATGAGGTTCCTCTCTGCCCAACTCTCCATCCTATCTATGTCCCTCTGTATGGCAGCACAGCCCTCGGGAGTGTCGGCCACTCCTCCCAGTTTGGTGTCACCTGCAATTCTTCCTATTTAGTCAAAAAAAAGGCTGCTTCAAAGAACATCCTCAGAGGACCTAAGCTCTGCTCTAAATAATCCTGTGGAGAGAGTCCTTGCAAGAAAGGGAGGGTTAAAAGTTTGTCATCTTAACTTAGACACTTCTACTAAATGCTGTAATTTAGCTTCAAATCCTATGAACTCTGGCTCCTCTGTGAGTACAAGAGTACTCATTTTTGCATATGTATTGCAGCTACCTTACAATTAACCTTAGAACAAACACTATAAAAAACAGTTCGTTTTTTGGATTATAAAGATTAACACAGTCAGCACTGAAACAATAAGGTCCAGGACACTGAATGTGAGTGCTGACTTTGCTGCTGAGTTGTCAATAGTGTAAGTAATGCAAATACAGGAGAGGCAAATATAAAACATAAGGCTATATGCCATGCACTGGAAGCTTAAGAAAGTTCTCCCCCTTCAAAGGATACAAGATTTTTCCTAATACTGCCTGATATGAGTTACTGTTAATTAGTAACAGTATTAATAACACTATTAATAATAAAGGTATTGTATTTGTATCTGTTTATATTGTGGCAACCTTTAAAGTATAGTAACACTTTAAAGCATATTTTGTTTCAGGGAATAAACAAACACAGAAGTAGACACAGTTCTTGTCTTGCAGACTGTATAGGCAAACAAGGCAGTAGTCCACAGGTAGGTCAGTCTAAAAGACTCATCAGACCATGTCTTTCAGACTAGCTGAGGTGCAAGTTCTGTGTGTGAGCTTAGAATGACAGACAGAAAGGTTGAGGTTAGAAGGGACCTCTAGAGATCATCTAGTCCAACCACCCTGCACATGCAGGAACACCTAGAGCACGTGGCACAGGGTGGCCTCCAGGCAGGAAGATAACTACTGCTCATCTAAATGCATTAATTCTGTTGCACAAGAAAATATCTTTGTTTCAAGAACATTTTTGATGCAATACAGGCTGTGCAGCTTTAGATTGGTTTTGTCAGGTTGTTTTACTCAATCTGTAATCATCAATTTGCGAGATATTTAAAAATTGCACAAAGCTTCTGTAAATATTGAATCTTAATTGTCTGATGCCATAGCTGCTTTGAGCAGGATGTTGGGCTGCATGACTTCCTGAAGTTCCTGCCGACATGAATTTTTCTACAGTTCTGTGAAATATGTTAATAAATATTGGGGAGGGGTGTCAACTTTTAATTAACGTACTGTATAGCCATATAAGTGCAATTTTTAAGTGTCATTTTTACCCTTCACAGTCATAATATCATTTCTTCATTCTTGCTGCTGGTCCTTTTCTCCTGGCTTTCTGCCTGAAAGACTGTTTCTTCTCTCTTTTACTAAGTACTTTCTCTACCTATTTTGCTTCTTTAAAAAGAAAGAATTTTATTATGCATGTTGCACATGTTATGGCACAGCTTCAAATTAGCTTTAGTATTCCATACAAATTTGATTCCTTTCTTCAGGTAACAAAAGCTGCAGTGGATCTATACAGAGCTTATCTTCCATAGAAACCAAAGATATACCAAAGGCTTCACCAAACCCTGATTTGCCACCAAAAATGTGCAGGAGATTAAGATTAGATACTGCATCAAGTAATGGCTATCAAAGACCAGGATCTGTGTAAGTAATTAAGACCCTGTGAAGACTTGAGTTGTTATAGTACTATTACCCACTCAAAAGTGATCCCAAAAAGCTGAATAGATGATTTAAAAAACATAGATTTGAATGTTTCTGTATTTGTGAATATTTATCTACAACTATTAAAATTTTAAACTGAACAAAGAAGGTATGACCCAAGGGGTCTATGCAGAAGAGGTTACAATTTAACTTAGCTGAGATTTGGGTCAACAATGTTTCTTAGTGCTCTTAGGGCAGGCCTAAAAGTCAAGAGATCTTTGCTCTAATCCTGACTGTAACCTTGACTTTCACTGTCCCCATGAACAAGTGACTTCCAGAACTGCAGATTGCCAAAAAGTTCTCTAAATATTTTAGGACTCCGTTCAGCCTGTCCACCTGTGAACTAGAAGGGAGCACTATAGCCATTTCAGAGGTTTCTATATCTTAAACAGAAAAACCTACATAGCTCAGAGTACCAGCTGTCAGTGGCAGGCTGTCAGGAAAAGCATTTCCAGGATGTCTGTTGGCCATCTATTATATAATTTTAAATACAGGCTGATTTTTTTTTCTATATGTTACTTTTAATGGTTGTATGATTTCTGGCTCAGCCAAATATCTAGACCACGGTGGCCTAAATTAAGGTATACCCTTAAGAATTGTGCTGAACGGGGACTTTAGCTTAGCTTTTGAGTTTCCTCTGTTTGTCTACTGAATATTTAAAGCAATTAAAAATAAATAAAAGGTTCCATGTCTTTAGATGTTTAAAACTGAAATTAGTCTGTGTGTTTAATTAATGGGCTAAGTTTAAAGCAGGATGCTGCTTTACTTTATTTTCAGAGTGGCTGCAAGAGCCCAGTTGTTTGAAAGTGCTGGTTCATTTAAACAAGTTTCTTCAGGACGGTAAGTGCTTCCTAGTTTAGCAACATGGAAAAAGTTTTGTGCTTTTTGGCTTCAAAGATTGAAATAGAGGCATTAGAGCTTTCTTCAATGTCTTTTAGACAGTGTCATGTGGCTTGCACTTTTCTTTGTGTTTTACTAAACTCAGCTTTTTCATAGAAAACAGCCTAATGGAGAATAACAGCCTCCCTGGCTATTCTGTCTGCTGTGGGCACTTCAGTAAGAGATTCTCAGGCAAGTGGTCTGTTTAAGGACATGACTACAGGAGTAAATTAATGTGGTTTAAATTAGGGTGAGGGTGCTTTATTCATTCTACAGAGTTGTTTGTCCATTCAATAGAGTGGTGGAAGTGCTGTCAATCTAAGTAATAGTTCATGGTAATTTGCTCATATAGTCAAGTCCTGAATAGTAGAATTAACTTAATCAGGATTCTCATCCTTCTGACTGCATGTTCTGTGCCTCAGTCTGGAGAAACTGTTACTCTTTCTTCCTGATGATCTGTATTTTTTTCATTCTTACTAAGCATTATTTACATTTTTATTTACAGTTGTACATATTTATTGGGTGAATTTGATTCGTTCTTACATGGCATTAAGTTAGAAAGCTTTCACAAGTGTTCATCTAGAAAGCAATATACTCCACATTTTAGTAACCTGTCTACCATTAGTAGACTAAGACAATTTAGGTGGGAGTGGTAAAAAGACTTTCTCTTTTACTGTCCCTGCACTTAATACTCTCTGAGTCAGATCATATGCTTGTTTTTGTCTGACATTTGGACTCACTGAAACCCCAATCTTAATGAAACTGTTAAGCAACAGAAAAATAACCATGTGATCCATACGGATATAATCCACAAACTGAAAAGTAGTAATTGGAAGTAACACAGCTGTAATAGATGTTGCCAACGTGTGGTGGGGGAATACGGCAGATCTAGCAGAGATGAGAAAGACAAAGCTGACGTGCAAGGGCCCACTGATTTCGTGCAACAGAAGTCGTTTGCAGGAATCAAGACTTTTCTAGTTTTATCTTGTACATGTAAGAGGACCAAAAAAGAGAGAAGGCAGGGGAGAGAAAGGGAGTAAAAAGAGCATGGCAGTAATTTAAGGAACAAAAGTATAGATAAAGAGACTGGCATGTTCTTAAGCCAGTGACCTAAGGCAAGAGCAGTGATTGCTCTCCCAGTCCTGCATCATCTACCGCTGTTCTTTTTCCTATTTTGTATTACTCCCTTCTTGTAAACTCTCTTGTGTTGTTCCTCAAGACCTGTCCCATCTGTATCTGTATATAGAGAGCATGTAAGAAGCAAAAATCTGACAAAGGAAAAATGTAGCAGTTTGATAATGGATGTGGAGAGCAGGTAACAAAGCAGGAAAGGCTGAAAGGCTTAATAGCTCTTCTGCTTCAGTCCTTCTAAGAAAGCAGAAGAGCAACAATAACAAGGAGAATGGAAAATGAGAGGTCAGCAAGCAAATGGGGAGGAAATAAGAAGTAGCTCCGCTGCTCCTGTAATACTGCTCCAGCTTTTGTTTGCCTTTCCTGTATGCTATGAACATGAAGGCTGCATTAAGTACTTAGGATAGTCTTCCTTGTTTACAGTGTGTTGAAATCATGAAATTACATATGATATCATACTTATAGTTATTATGAGTTACATATTAATATCACCCGGTAGAGAGGCTTATGGATTCATGTATGGATGGATGTATATATTGCCTGAAACAGTATTTGTGGTCCAGTTCCTGGATCAAAAGTACCTGTCCAGTTTTGCAGTACTAGCCTTACATTGCCTTATGCATTCTAGCAGATGCTCTACCAGCACAGTGATCTGCACAAACTTGATTCTTTCCTGCAGCCTT